GCAACTTTTCGATACGGGTTAGAATTGGATTTATTCCCTCGGCCACGTTTTCCTTCTCCCCGTGTATCTCGCTGCATAGAGCGAGAATGACTGGGCGCCGAAGCAGATGGCTCAGCAGCCGAGTCGCTGTGGCTATCAAAGTTTTTCGCCCTCAACGATCACCTCCTAGGCGACTGCAATCTGATTTGATGTAGTCTATACTTTGGTTCCTTCTTCCACTGAGGGAGATCGTAAATTCGATTGCAATAGTGCGATGTCAAGGATATCCAAGTTTCGCCGTGAGCCACGTCTCCGCTTCAGAAGCAGCCCTAACGAATATTTTATGACACGCAGAAAGCACCATTACTTTCTCACATCAAAATGGCGGCGCTGTGCTGATGACTCGTGCATATATCGATACAGTCTCGCCATGCAGCGCAAAGCGGGAGACAGAATAAGCAGGAGCGAGAAGGGGAGAAGGATTATGTCCAGTCAACGAGGGTCCCTTACCCCAAAGAAGCGATTTTGGTCAGAATTACCCTCGAACCAGCTGTTATCTGCCCCTCCAGATCCCACTGTTGTCATTTCATCATCTCTTCCGCCGCTTCTCTAAATTCTGTTCCTCCTCTCTCGTGCTCGCTTACTAACCTGACAGTAGATTTTCAATAAACGCTATATCTAAGGGAACCCAATGAAATTAGGATTATAAAAGATTTTCAGAGAGGAAGTTATTGAAAACGATAGAGGGCTAAAACAGATGTTGACACGTAGAAGAAGGCAGGGAGTCAAGGGAAGAGGGAGGAGAAGCGAGGACGAAAGAAGGATGTGAGAGAGGCCGCGATGAGATGAGGAACTTGGCTTCATTCCTACTCTACGTGTCTGATCGTCTTGCCTTGCCTTTCCGTCGTCGACTTGATCTAAGGAGAGTAGCTTCTCATGATCTCTCCATTCTTAAATCTTCCGGCTGACGTCCATCATTGGGAAGACAATTGAAAGGGCTGCCGATGAAGTCGGGACCTGTGGGTCGATAATGAGGCATAGCGTCCGGAAGTACAAGTCAGAAAGGAGAAGAAGAGGGATATTAGGCGATGGTTCTACAGGCACGGTAATCTTGACTTATTCAGTCTTTCTTCATGACGTATGAGCGAAGAAAGAGACAGAAAACAGAAGGGACGAACAAATCTGTGGTATATCATCATTTCATTTTCCTCGTATCCCTTATTTCCTCTATGTTGTCTGGAAGGCTTTGACGTCAATTTCACGTCGCTGTCTCACCTCGCAATCATTGGTATCAAAAAACATCTATTTTTCGGATTTCATCACTTTACTTTCTTTCTATTTCTCCATTCATTTTCAGGGCTACAGTCTAGTTGTTGACCAGAATTCATCTGTCGACATAGACTTGTGCCTCTCAAAAATTTCTCATTATTTAAATGTTAATACGTAACCGTCATTTGCTCACACACTCTTCCAGACCTCGACAGTCTTTTTCTCCTCCTAGCCTCTCGACCGCGAAGGCATCAGGACTGCTTTTTCCCATCCCTAGAAAAGAAATACTACTAACTCACCGCGATTTCTGTTTATCTGAATCGACAAGACCTAGGTAATTTCACGACCACTGGCAGTCAGACAGCCAGTTTTTTTGCCTGTTGAACAGTTTCTTTTCCAAAGTAATGCGCAACGGCTTCACTTGCTCATGTTTAACTGAAGGGCCTCACGTACCGGCTCCATCTCGACGGAGAATGCGTATGAGCCATCTTTGTTTTTTGCCATGACACCAATTTCCTTGCAGAAACCCATGCAGGGCTTGCTCATGAAGTGCTTATCGTAAGTCATGACATGAAGGATATCGTTGACCTTCATGGTATCTGGCACATTGCAGGGCAGGCCAGTGGTACCCACCAGGTCGTAGTGGTGGTCGACGACAGACTTGTCGCAAAGGCCAAGGAGGTGGCCCAACTCGGCAGTGACGCACATTCCGATTGCGACGGCCTCACCGTGGAGGAGTGGCACTTGACCTTCCTCCCAGGAAAGGTGTTCCACGGCATGTGCGACTGCGTGACCATACTGGGGCACCATTTCATTGAAGTCGGACTCCTTGTAATGAGTCAGCGTCGGCACCTTGATCTCTATGGTTTCCTTGCACAGGGTTTCGAGGTACTTACTGTCTCCGAGGCGCGCCGAGTCGCCGCGCAGAGGTTCAACAATGGCAGACGTGAGTTCCCACGATTGGGTGAGGCCGTGCTTGAGCGCCTCGGCAACTCCATTGAGCATGTGTCGATTGCTGAGCGTCTTGAGGCACTCGGGGTCCATGACGATCAGGTCGGCTGGGTAGTACGCGCCGACGAGGTTCTTCCCGCAAGAATGGTTGAAAGCCTGCTTGAAGTCGATGGCGGCGTCCAGCATCCCCATGGTCGTGGTCGTAAAGTGCACGAGTTTGATGCCTCGGTACAAGGTGGCTGCAATGACGCCGCACAGGTTGTTGATAACGCCGCCCCCAAGCGAAATAATGCATGAGTGCTTAGAGATGCCGTTGCCCAGCACACGATCAACGCACGCGTTGAATATGGCGCCGTTCTTGTTAGGCTCAGTAGACGGCTCGCCAGATTCGTCCATAGACACTGCTGGGACGACGATCTTGGTCATGTCAAGGCCGGCAGATTTGAGGCCGTTTAGCACGGTGTCACCGTATAGCGCGTCGACGACAGAGTCGGTGATAAGGTAATTTGCCGAACCGTGCGATTCCTCGGGAATGATGGATTTACCGAGGCGTGCCAGGTCAGAGAGGGCGCCGCGCTGCACGAGGATATCCGTTTTCAGATATTTTCCAGGCCGCTCGAATCGGTTCCGGAAACCCCCATTCTTGTCCATGGTACAGGGAGTGCGGTGTGGCTGCGAGACGGGGTGGCCAGCGCCCGCGTAGTTCTCTGAGTCACGATCAAGGTCGCACATGGATGGCAAAACCGATGGAAAGCGCGAACCCTTGTCAAGGGCGTCCAGGCGCGACATGTGGTCCCGTGAGAGGCACCAGTCGAGCAAGTCCTTGTTTTCGTCCATGAGAGACTGGGACGGCGTCTTGCGAGTGATGCTCCTGCCGCGCTGGATGCCCCGGCGGAGGAGCACCTGCGCGGCTCGCACGGCTTCCTCAGCGATGCGGAGCAAGACAGGATCATCGAGCAGCGAGGGGTCATTAGGATGTCGGTTTCTCATCTTGCCGGGCGGCGAATTAGCCACCACATGGATGTTCTCCTCGCGACAAAACTCGAGCAGCTTTGGCTGAGCCAGGTACGGGTGCATCTCGACCTCGAGCACCGTTGGGCGGATGCGGCATCGAGACAGCAGCTCGCTCAAAGTTCGTATGCCCATGTTAGACACGCCAAGCGAGCGCACAAGGCCCTGGTCCACAAGGCGCTCCATGGCCTCGTAAGTTGCCATGATGCAGTCCATATCGCCGTCCTGGACAAGCTCATATGTGTCCCCATCATCCAATGACACTGGTTTCGAATCGCTCTTCAACTGCACAGGCCAGTGCATCATGTAGTTGTCTAGGTAAGACACGCCAAGCTCGGTAATCGATCTCTTGCACGCTTCGGTCACGTCCTCGGGCGCGGCGTCGCAGCACGACAGCTTGGACCCCACGTAGAAGGACG